AATGGAAGGTTTTCAACTGCTATGCAAGTGGAAGAAGGAAATACACGAAGCGAACAAAGGGTTGCAGCATCCAGTTCTTTGTCTTCGTCATTTGATTGGAATACTTTCCNAAGAGACCGTTGTGGTCTTTCTGAAGAAGATGTTGCCTATTGTTTGCCCAAGCTGTCCTTCANAGGAANGANAGATTNGAGTGGCGNGACAACAGAGTTTCTTTNGAAGTGCGGTATCGATAGTCCTTCACNAAGATTGCGAATTATGTNAGGAATACGACAGCTTTNAGCAAAGTAGCTTTTATGGACTAGTTTGTGGTATGCCCATGATTTCCCTGTAGAAGATGATGGAAGCCTTATAGAAGTCGTAGTCCTAATAAAGACATGTAATTTTTGTTTTTATCTCACTGCAAAGTCATTACGAGCTTAGTAACTTGAGATATCTTGCCAATATGCTGAGGAAGCAAAAAGCTTCTGTTTAGTTGTTCTTTATTCAGATTCATCTACAAAAGTGTTGGCAATCTATTTAGATAAACTTGCACTTCTTTTACCGTTTGCAAATGTTAGTTACGCTTCCGTAGATATAGATTTCAATTTCCTTATCGCGTTTTGGCAGGATTGTTATTGAAAAATGTTCTTGACATAACTGACGAGGATGAAAGCATATAATGTCATCAAGATAAGTATATTCATTTTTTAGAGATCACAAGGCCAAACAAAGTTCACTGAAAGAGTTCAAATGTTCTGATACGCAGTAGGCTGAATTTGCATCTGTTGAAACACGAACCAGCACGCTGTTCATTGCCACACTTGAACTTCAAGTGAACTCGACTTTGAGGTAACTTCTTTAAGGAAGATGTTCTGAAATAACACTAAATATGAATAACATGACCCAAAGTATTATAGCTCACAAAAGAGCTTAAGGTTCCCTCTTTGTTATTTTAAACTTATTTTTCAATACTACTTATCCTTAGATAATGAAGAATCTGTTTCAAGCCATCTAAAAGCAACAATTCCCAACTTTTCATACTTAAGAAGACGATGGTTGAGTGTAATGTTTCAAACCGATACAACCCATATGTAGTAAACCGTGAAAGGGATGTTTTTCGAGTGACAGAAGAACTGTATGATCTTCGTAACAGTCGAAAGCAACTCAGGGGTTTAACATGTCCCCCATCTTTTTGGCTCTCGCAAAACTACGTTTTGTTAAACCTATTTGGAGTTGGTTCGAAGGTTTGTCGAGACTTTCCTGTCGACTTTTGCTTCGGACCTTTCGAGCAGAATCTTTTTGGAGAAGCTGAAAAAGGCTTCGTTGCTTTATGTAGATCAAAGGGAGTTGGAGCCCACACTTGAGAGGACTTTGTACTTTTTATTGTACCGATCAGCTTGTAATCAGATGGGTCTACAGTTTATGAAGCCTACAGACACATTCCTCCTTGTTCAAAGTTTCTAATTCCAGAGCTACGGAAGACTTTGGGCATTCCTTCTGATCAATATCTTGCTATAGCTTTTGATGAAGTTGGTGTCCTAGACGAAAGTCTCGACGAGTTTCATTTCAAAAGGACCCATGACGGTAGAGTTCTACCATACAACGACTTTTTCGGTATTATTCGTGAGTTGTGCGAAGAACCCTACTTGTTTTTTATTGTTGTTGGGAAAAGTGAAGGCTTCAATATATACAATTACGTAGCTTCAGTCTCAAGGGTTCAGTTAGTATTTATTCCTCTTGCGCCGCTTGAGAAACATAGTATCGTGGAACACTTGGAGAAAAGTTCTTCCTTTTTATTCACTGGGAGCCCAAAGGTTTCAGAAATTCTTTGTCACAAAGACTTCTCAACTAGTGAACTTGCAGAATTGTTGTTGGAATTGACTGGTGGTGTTCCTGGTTTACTTGTTCGAGCAATCAGTTACCTTTTGCTGTATAAATCATCCAACAACAATTTCTTATTATCTAAGAAAACCTTCTTGATCATAATGAATAGCTTTCTAGTAACAAATTATTGTGTTGCGCCATTCTTACCTCGTCTGATAAGTCTCAGTGAGCAGCGTAAGCGCTTGTTAAGAATGCTTACGTTATTATCTTTGTATCGTATTCGATTTGATTTTGATGAAACTGTGCAAATAAGCTCAAATTCTGATGTGTTTTTGTTTGATCTAGTTACAGATATGTGTCTCTATCGTCGATTGGTTATAGAACCAGACCGCAACGAACGCTATGAAGTATTGATTCCCAAGTTACTGATTAAATATATTGACCAAGGCGTAAAGGATGATCGTTTAGAATGGTTACTTTTACAAACTCTCAAGTCTCAATCTGTTGAATTCTTTTATGAGTCGAAATGTCGAATTTTAGAAGGTCTTATTGCGACACTGTTTTATTTACACTTTTCTCGGCATCCTACAAACAGCTCAATGTTTTCTACTCTTGGTCAATTGTCTCGTGTTTGGAATGAAATGAATTTACAATTTTCTTCCGAATCTGCTGCTTATTATATGAAATCTATACATTATACCAGAACTGTATCAGGAACAGAGAGAATGACATTTGGAAGCAATGATGAATGGGAAAGGATAGTGGAAGAAATGTTAGAATTTGAAAAGATATATATTCCATTTCATTCAACACTCCATAGTCCAGATATATTATTCAAGTTGCATGGAAGAACGAATGAGAAGAACTTGATGATGGTGGGTATTGCTTGTAAAGGAAGATGGAGTCGTAATGGTATTCGATGGAATGAAATTTTGGAAGAAGCTCACAAGTTTTTAAAACCAGTGCATGATCAAGCATTGACTAGTCATCCTACATGGCATTGTATGTTGATTATTATGAGTACTCAATTAGCAACCAACGTATCTGAGGACTTGAATCATTCTAGTCGTTGTTATTCATCTGGCGATAGTGTTGAAGATTTCGTGATTCCTCACAACTGTGAATTGGTTATTCTTTCTGAAGCCGATGTAGAAAACTTTATTGGCAAAGACATTTTATCGAATTTAAGGAACGCTTTCAAGTCTGTGGATAATCCACATTCGAGAAATATTGGCATTGCAACCCTACAAGAAATAGTTTTATCTCTTTCCAAAAATATTTAAGAATATCTTGTTTTAATATCTGAGAAATTTTCTAAAACAAATAATTTTCAAAAGTTGTTGTAAATCGGGGGCTGTTTTATATGACACTGTCAAAAACTATATCAAACTTTTGAAAAATTTATAATTCTGACCACAGTTGCATGGTTTGGATGATGCACTTGTAGTCACTAGTTGTATAATGCTTGAATTAAGATTATAACAATAATGCTAAAGGCTTATCTATTTTTCCGTTGAAAACTATATAATAGATTCGACTTTGGACAATCTTCGAAACTTGACAACTTGTATTCATGTTTGTCTTTAGTCTTCTACTATTTGTTTTGAGAAAGAATATGGGGTTTATTCTTATCCGATCAGAAGAGCTTATTGAAAGGGATTCTGCAATTCCAAGTTTGTTACTTTTTTACGATATATACATTTCAACTTGATGTTCTAAGGGTCTCATCACCAAATGAAGATGGTGGAGTATATCTCGTAAGGAAAGTTGAGAAAACCACACCGTATTGACCTTATTCCGTGTTATAGTTTTGAAAAGGTATTTTCTCCGTACTGAAGGATCTAATAACAAAGCACTAGACGAATTTTTGAATCTATTCATAAAACCAATGAAAAACTTAGCAACAACCAAACTTTTGCTGTCACTTATGTAGCATATGAACTCTTTGTGAAAAAGATTCACATTTCCAAAGTTTCAATACCTGTGTATATTATGAAAAGAATTTTCAAGCAAGCTTTCCAAACTGACTTTGCGCTGTTATCAATTCAATTATAAGGACATTTTGGAAGATTGATAATAATAATAATATTCTTAATGAATCTGTCTTACAAAATATATATGGAAATCGCTCACAAGACAACAGAGAATTTTTAAAAATGTTTTCCTATTTCAAAAGTTTTTATGGTGACCTGGTCAAATATAATCAGTTACAGTATACAAGATGCAATTAAACCCCACCCAATGGTTTTGGTACCACTTGATCTTTCATTAATATCCAGGTAAATCATACTAGTCTTGACTTTTCAAAAGTACTAAATACGACCTGTAGAGGTTTCTTGTCATTGAGGCTTTAAGGGAAAATTCGCCTCGACGACGACATATTGCCTTGTATACGTGGATTAACATGATGGGAGCTTAGTCATCAATTAGTGAAACTGCTGAACAAGGAAATATTATTTCATTTGTGTTTCAATATTTCGATGGGAATTTTTATGAAGGAGATGACATTCATTCACCACTCTCATATTTGTCTCTGATTGCATAGACCAACCGAATACAAATATTGTTCATGAAAAGGCATAGCATTATTTGTTACATGTAACACTTCCGGTCCGTCGGCAGTTTTTGGACCATAATGGAGAGATTTATCAGAAAAAGAATCAAGGAACAAGGTAGAAAGCATTCATATGCTTGAAAGTCTTCCTGTGAGAATGGAAAGAATGGAACCTATAGTATATACTGTGTTTTCTATGCTGCTCTTTGCTCATATCTTAAAAAATTTCTCTCTTCATTGGAAACGTACTTTGTTAGTAATGAAGTCATGTTCCTCTTTCAAAGTATGTCTCTTCTTTTCATTCCGGAGTATCAGGACATGTTACTGCGTCAAGAACAACATATCCTTCCAATGTATAAAGCATTCTTATTCAATGAAGATGGTATTTTCATTCCTCAACTAAACAATCAAGAGGACCCGACTTTGATACTTCGTGTACTAAAAACGTTACAAAGTCGACTAGTGAGTCATCTTTCGAAGAAAAGACAGAATCATCGCAACTGCTTTTACTGGAATCAAATGAGAGTTTTTCACTTGAGAAGGAGTTTCTGATATTCGAGCAAAAGCACAAAAAATTTCTGCTTCCAATATTACAACAAACTGACTTGGAAGCGAATAATATATCTGCTATTGAGCCTATTGGAAGTACGGAATATACCAATCAAGTTCTTTCAAGGGAGTTTAGAAATAATGAGAACCGCATATTGAAGAGCGGAATATATTATGATTATGGACAGCTTTATTTAAGAACACTTGCTCGTCGATCTGCAAGTGGCTCTGTCACGGAACGGTTAACGATTCCTTCTCGTTGTCAATTGAGCGTTTGTTCTATTATTAGCTTGAAACAATTTCTTGGATTGAAGACTTGTGACCGACTAGAAAAGAATTTTTGTAAACGATAACAGCGCTTCATCAGATTATAATTTAGTTCTCTTGAGTTCTGCATTTACATGCGTGGAAGCTATCATTTCGTCTATTTCAGGAATAGGTGATAATCTACCGAGCGACAACAGGATAAAGTAACGAAAGCTAGAATCGGTACAGTAATCAGAAATTCTACAAAGCCAGAATGATTATTTCGTTCTCCAGATACTTGCAAACAAAAGTTACAACATCGTGGCTTCAAAAACTGAAATCAAGACATTCATATCACAGAATCTCCTTCTGCTCTTTGCCTCTTGACTACAAGGACTTTATTTTTGTATACGAAAAAAAAGAGTTTACTGTGTGAAACAACGATCTCCTATCACAGGAGGATAGCTTTCTAAAGTACAGTTTTTCAAAAGTACCAAAACGAAAATAGTTGTGTGATAATTCTCCAAGTTGCTGTTGTTGTGTTTATTATGCTCAACTAACTTAGTGTGGACAATCAAAAGGGTAAAACTCAAAACAGCTTGCCTTTCGAAGGCTGTGAATCATCTTGTCAATTTTGAACGTGGCTGAGTTTCAACGGCAACACAGTTATAAACTTTAGTGGATTGCTGTAAATACTGCCATATATCTAGTCAGAAAAAATATTCAATATTCTTTTCTCTCTTAGAAACGGCATAGTCCACTAGTGAAACTTGTAGAAAGTATTCAGAAGCAAGGTGTGGAACAGACTAACGCTCTGCAAAGTAGACACAGTGAAATAGATAAAGCTGTTTCCAAACAGCGTTCAGAAATACCAGCGTTCACTATCTTTATGTATCGAAAAGGGTGGTTTTCATATCTTCGGGATAGCAGAAAAAATATGTGCCTCCTATTGTTAAAGAACTAACAGGCCTACTGTTGTTTATCTGCGCATTTAGTTACATGCTTCATCTAACTTTTGGAAACAACTTGAGCTTCACGGCCCAGTATATAAGCTCTACCGTAATTTCTGTTTACATTCTCCATTAGAAGAAAAAGGTTCGTGTTGAGGAAGAAGAAGGCAGGTAGGAAAAGTATACAAGCTACTTGGCGTGGAGCAGACCATCTTTTGACTTGCTTTCTGAATCGAGAATTTTCCAGTTTATTCCTTTTGTGTCGTCAAGCAATCTCCCCCTTAGTAACTGTTTTTTGTCAATAGAAGTCTTCCCTATTTCACAAGAAAATATTCCAAAAGTCGAAGTTGTGTTCAAAGCTAGTACAAGTTCTGTCCTCTTTCGGATTATTTTTATTTTACACCGAAGACTTGAACATGAGACTAACTTAAAATCTCTCGTTCTGGAAAAAACAAAAGAAATATTTTCTTAGGATGAGGTGCGGAAAAAAGCATAAGAGACCAACTAGGCAGCATAGAAAGAATAAACTACAGAATAAACATTGGTGAACAATGTGCCCATTGATCGTCAGCAAGAAAATATATTTGGAAATTCCATTTTTTTTAAAGATCAACTGCCGAGTCAAGAGTGTACCATTCTATTCACTCTATAGGTCACTTATAACGCTTTGTGGAGCAACTTTGAAACAAAGGATGGGAAAGGTTAAAAGTTTCACAACATAGTTACGCTTGTTGAATGAAAATATTTAGAAGAAATGGCATGATATGTTTCATCATGGATTTTCTCAATTTGAAGCAATGCAAGACCATTCTTTATATATCGGACTGTAAGAAAACAAACAAATCTTATCATCAAATTCAAATACTTTCAACGAGATCATATAACTTTCATAGAGATTAGGGATTCATCATTGCTCCACAACATAGGTGTGATATTCATCATTTTTCGATTTCAGTCTAGTCATTACGTTTCTTATCACCTGTATTCCTTTAGCAACATTTCTTTCCATTATGCCTTGAATACCAGAATTCATAACTTCCTTTACTTCTTCAAGAGTTCGTCCTTTTGTCTCCGGAAAGATGAAAAATAGGACGACCATAAAGAATGCAGTAAAGCCAGTGTAAAGTCCATAGACTCCCTTTACTCCAATAGCATCTACTTGCCTGCTGAATGTGAATGTAGTCACAAAGGCACTTGCAAATATCCAAAATGCAGACCAAGCTGCTCCGATGCTCCTAACTTCGGTTTCATACAGTTCTCCTGCCATTACCCATTGAATTGCTGAAATTCCAATATTATTAAACGCCCCATAGAGAAGTAATCCAATTAGGTAAAGTTCAGCCCTTTCACTTAATTTCGATAATGGCACGTAAAAAGATGTTAAGGATAAAATGATAGCAATAATTTGAGGAGGAAATGTATACATAAGAAGAGGTCTCCTTCCGACTCTATCTAATAAAAAAAATGGAAGTCCTGCCCAACATGTAGACCAAAAGTTAATGGGAAGTAATGCGTAAACAGATGTTGTAACTGTAAGTCCTAATTTTTCAAGAATAGTAATCATATAATAGCCAATGGCAGTAGCTCCAGAAAATTGCGAGGACATCCCTAATACAGCACCGATATAGAAAGGAGTTCGAACTCGTCTATTTGTAAATATTAGCTTTATAGCATCTGAGTAAGTAGTTCGATTTTTCAAATCATCCTCGACGTCATCTCTCATCTTCTCCAATTCAAAGCGAGAAATGGCATTGTCGAATCTCAGTCTACTCCAAGAGGAAACGAGCTGTTTTTCTTTCTTCCACATAATGAGCCATCTAGGACTCTCAGGAAGAATTAGAAGACCACAAAATTGGATCAAACCAGCCAAGAACTCAGCGCCTGCCATAAATCTCCACTTCCAAATAGGTTTTACTTGAATAAAAATGCTAGCTACCACATAGGCTGTTGGTGAACCAGCCATTTGAAACCAGTTAAAAATACTTAGATGTCCGCCTCTTCCATGGGCAGGTGCACATTCAGCAACATATATTGGAATGTTCATAGCTTCTAATCCCATTCCAATTCCTAACAAATATCTTCCTCCTAAAAGTACAGAAAAGTTTTTGGCGGCAGTTTGCATAACAGAGCCTCCAAAACAAATTGCTGCTGATATTTGCAGGGCTCTTTTTCTGCCAAGATACTCACCAATTGGAATTGCACTATAGGTTCAGTAAGTAACATTCTTACGAAATTCAAGATGAAAACTTACAACACTGTTCCAACGGCAGTAGCAAGTGAAAATGCTGAAGCAATATATGACCATTGATTGTCATTCAAGTTCAAATCAGGCATAGCAAATACTTCAATGGTGGCTAAAATTCCTTGGTCCATACCCATCATAATAGAGCCAAAAGCAACAAAGAATAGCAAGAATTTCATAGTTGCTGTCAAATGCTGTTTCTTGAACAAATCTTCATGGCATACTTTACCCCCATTTTCTAGATGAGATAGAGTCTGCTCTTTAGGTTGCTCAACCTCACCGGTCATTTCGTCTATCCCCATAGGGTCCTGTGATTTTTCACCGTCTATGAATCCTTCAACAAAGGCTGAACTGTTAAGCTGAGGCATTGAGACCAACTTATCGTTCCAAAAGAAAAAAACAAAGTATTGGCGAAGACAGGAGAAACTCTTTATTTTATAATCCTCACTATCACCCTCTTTATCATCCTTATGCTATATGGTAGTGGGAGGAGTAATGATGCCGATAATAGGACATCTTTTTGGAAACAGCACTTTTGATCATCAAGCCTACTATGCTATTGTCTATGAGACAAATATATTGAGATCAAATGATCATTGCTATGTGATCGTTTTGACTTGACCATTCGCAGGGACATGAACAATCCTCATGAGCAGTTTGCAATTTATAGCAAAATGAGAGATACACGGAAAGTTTTGTTACCTTTCTCCATTTGGTTTCTCATAAGGCAAAGGTAAGTCTTCAATATACAAAAAAATGTTTCTAAAAGGTAAGGCATCCATAAGAAAGAAGCTTGAAAGGAAACACTAAAATAAAGCTACCACATAGATACAAAACACGTGCTTGATAATTTGTGATTGAATACTGTAACAAATATTAACTTGGCTATATGCTTCATTAGTACAAAGCTGTTTAGTGAACTTTCTTGCAAATTTAGCTGCGTAGTTCCGCTCTTGTTGTTGCTACTCAAATACGACAAGATGAGCATGGTAGATAATACGTTAAGACGTCATTCTACTGGAAAGGAAAGTTTAGAGCTTTATACTGATCCATAAATCGCATAGTTACTGGATTCAGTTTTCTGGCAGCAAAACTACTTTTTATGCTTCAAAGATCAAATTGATTGTATTTGAATTCTCAGGTCTTTCCAATGGACTCTCTCATCATTTTATTAAAGCCATCCTAAGGTAGTCCAAAACTTAAAAAAGCCTTCATATGCAAGTCAGATTAAGAATTGAATAATTGTTATCAACGACCGCACATTTCGAATAAATTCTACGAGGATATGCATGTTTAGCCAGAGAGACTATGCTCCTTTATTCGCGAGTCCCATCCGAATGGCAGCATTCCAGCCTGCGATGTTACAAAACAATCTAGAAATAAAACGAAACCCATCTTCCGAAAAAAGATGTCATATGGTGAAGCTATGTTGAGGATCACAGAAATTGGAAATATCCTTAAAAAATACTATTGCCCACTCTTTCTCAGAGATACAGAAAAATAAGTTCTGCGAAATATCAAGCAAATCTAGTTTCATTTTGACTGCATCTTTATCCTTGTAATATCTCTAATGATAATAAAACTACAATGCTGAAGATCAAACTCCAAATGATAAACTTGACAAGCTTGTAAAACATGTTTCAACAAGTATCTTGTAGGAAGAAATAATGTCCAAAGTAGCCTCTCTTTCAGTGTTTAGAACCAAACTTGTGACTAAAGCTTATTGCTATGTATGACAACAATACGAATTCGAGCTCTTCTAAAAATTGTTCTTTCTTCTTTTCCCTTTATGACCCAAAATACTTTCAACTAGTGTAATTTTCTTCTTCAATATTCACTTGTTGACTACTTGTAGGACCAAAACCCCGGTTTGAGAAGACTGAAGACTCGAAAAGAGAACTTCAATAAAGGACAAGATGCGCAAAGCTTACAGAGACGACAAACAGTTTACAAGTGGCGATCGAGCGCCTTTGCATTTCCAGATCTATAAATAGGCAGCGGATAGCTGAGTATAAAACAAAGTTTTGAAAGAGGATTCTCTTTGAACGTGTGCTTCTTTCGACGCATCAAAAAGCTTTAAAGATCACTCGCTATATATATAAATATATAAAATATTTTCAAAAACGGTCTGCACCGCTAAGGTAAAACTCCAAAAATCTCTAGAACTATACCGACTTGTTGTTTTTTTTGAGCTATGTTTCCACCAGGGTCAGTTGATTCCTAAAGTAATATCATATCTGCTCAGTGAATAAAAAAACAAAGAGGTTTAAAATATGAAAAACAGCTCAAAGGAACAGCTACACCACTTGTATCTTCTTCTTCACAAAGAGTAATCCTCAAGTAAACTATTTGTACTTCTAAATAACAAACAATCTTCTTTGCGATTCATGAAGAAAAATTTTCTCAAGTTCAATAACTGGTCACATTAACAAGCAAAAGGATTGATGCTGTACCGTAGATCTTTTGAAACTGTTCTTCAAGTCTTAAACCCAAAGCACTATAGCTGAAAGATATGCTTAATGTTACACATGAACTTAGATGTCTGTGTGTGTTTAGGATTCTTGAAATAACGAGACAACTTTTCAAGTCATTTGGACTCTTTCATGTTGGCCTCAATCGCTGAGAAATACAACTGAAAAAGGAAAATCTTGGTTGTCGTTTTCGTAAAGTGAGACAATGGTTTGATCTTCCGCGTTCCATCGAAATCTTTCGAAACTTTGAGAGCTGACCATTTTTTTGGGTGATTGATCAGGCGTTTTGATAATTAGAAATCATTCGTACACTGCATATTTATCATTCAACTGCATTCATTCATTCATTTATTGTCTTTGTCATACAAAACAAATGTGAATTAAATTCAACTATCAAGTTTCTTGAGAGAGTTTGGAAGATTCTACCTTTCTTTTTCCAAAAGTGAACAAGTATTTCAGGTTATTCCATGCATCCACAATATTCTTATGAATAATGAACGGCAATCCTCCTTCCATAATTTCTTTAACTTCTTCCAGTGTCTTGCCTTTAGTTTCCGGGAAGATGAAGAATAGCACGATCATAAAGAATACTGTGAATCCTGTGTACATTCCGTATAGTCCTTTTACTCCTACCGCGTCAACCTGCTTGCTAAAAGTATATGTGTTGACAAAAGCACTAGCAAATATCCAAAATGCTGACCATGCCGCACCTATACTTCTTACTTCTGTTTCATATAGCTCACCAGCTTCAACCCATTGAATAGATGAAATTCCTATATTGTTAAAAGCTAGATATAATAAATATCCAATGAAATAGTCTTCAGCTCGCTGACTTGCTTTTGACAATGGAATATAAAATGAGGTCAAGGAGAATATGATTGCAATGATCTGAGGAGGAAAAGTATACATAAGAAGAGGTCTTCTACCAACTTTGTCCAATAGATACGAGGGTATGGATGCTATAATGGCGGTCCAGAAACCAATAGGAATCTCTGCATATACAGCAGTTTCCACATCTAGTCCCAGGGTTTCCAGGAGTGTCGTAAGGTAATATCCAATGGCAGTTATACCAGAAAACTGAGATGCCATGCCCAAGGCAGCCCCTATATAAAATGGTGTACGAACCCTTCGATTGGTAAATATAAGTTTTATAGCATCCCACTAGGTTCTCCTTCCTTTAAGATCATCCTCCACTCCTTGAACCATCTTATTATATTCATAGCGAGTTACCGGGGAATCATATCTAAGCCTTCCCCAAGCTTTCTCAGCCAAGTCCATTTTACCTTTCATTATATACCATCGAGGACTTTCTGGTAGAGGTAACAGTCCCATAAATTGAATAAATGCTGCTACACACTGAGGAGCCATCATAAATCTCCATCTCCACGTGGTCTTCACTTGCAAGAAAATTGCGTTTATAAGCAGTTGGAGCTCCAGATTGTTGAAACCAGTTGAAAAAGTTCAAATGTCCTCCTCTTCCGTATGCGGGTGCACATTCTGCTAGATATATGGGAATGTTCATTGCTTCCAATCCCATTCCTAGTCCCAGTAACAGCCTTCCGGCAAGCAATACAGGGAAAGTATTTGCTGCAGTTTGCATTATTCCACCAGTAAAACAAAGAGCGGCAGATATTTGTAGTGCTCTCTTCCTACCTAGAAACTCTCCAACAGGAATAGCACTAGAAGATAACGAGAGTCAATGAAATATAAAAACAAATTTAAAGTTTCTTACAAGAGAGTACCCCATGCTGTAGCCAAAGAAAATGCTGAAGCAACCCAAGACCAATGAGCAGATGAAATATGTAAATAGGGCTTGGCAAATATCTCGGCTGTTGTCAGAAGGGACTGATCCATTCCCCCATCATGATTGAGCCAAATGCAACGAAAAATAATAAAACGCGGAGTAGTGGTGTTAGAGGCTCCTTATGAGTCATTAAATATTCATCAGTCACTTCATTTGAATCCGTAATTTCTTCTTTCTCTGAAAGTAATTCTTGTACTCCATCCGTGGTATCTTCAGTTTCCTCCTGTTCTTTTCTCTCCGTTAAGCCCTTTACAAAAGAGGTAGAACCTAACGCGGGCATTTATAAGATTTCTTATCTTGCAGAAAGTCGAACAATTAGACTACAGTCCTCAAAAACAACCAATAATTCATCATGAAGTGTGTTCAACTTCTTATTTTAACTTACTTCCTGTCCTTTAGACACGATATCGAGCTATGCTTGATCAACGAACTCTTTGAATGTCCACATGAATAGCGACATGATCCCGTCTTTGTGCTTTTTATCCCAAGAGAACTTTTCTTCATCTGAAATTGCTGAATCCAGTCTATTGGAACGGCCTTCAGATCAAGAGTCGCTAATAACATCTTGATTTCTTATCTCCTTCAGTCTACAGGACAAAGTCAACTGGGAACATATTTCGCCTATTTGAATGACCGTCTCACAGACCATAAAGATGAAGGTGCTATATATATGCAATAAGACTTGGAGCAGAATTCTTGTTGTTGTATAGAAAATGTTTGCCCGTCCGAGTAACGAGGAGCTTACTTTGGATAGAATAAACCAGTTTTGTGGATGGAAAAATCTTAAACCAAAGAGTCACGTGGTTCCTTCTAGGAAAGGGACCACTCTTTGTGGCAATCTGTGGACTCAGGTGGATAGTAACTGTGTGAAGTTGGAAGTTTTTTCTAGTTCAGAACGAATAACCTTTGATGAAGCTATAAAAAAATCATATCAAGCAACTCATGTTGGTGAACAGTTTGGTCCATCATGGTCTACTCACTGGTTCAGGCTTTCCTATATTATTCCATCCTATATGGAAGGACAGGAAGTACACTTGCTATGGGATAGCAACTCTGAGGCTCTCGTATGGAGTTCCAACGGCCATCCACTACAAGGGTTGACAGGTGGAATAGGTAACATGGTAAGGTATGATATGAAGTTATCAAATGCAGCAAAGAAGGAAGAAAGTGGTATATTATTCATAGAAATGGCTTGCAATGGTCTCTTTGGCAATGGTGCTGGTGGCACTGAGGAACCACCCGATCCTTGTCGAAAATTCCAATTGTCTGAGGCTGCAATTGCAGTATTTCGAAGAGATATTTGGAACATTCTTTGTGATTTTACTATTCTAAAAGACATGATAGCTTTTCTACCAAAGGGCAATCCATGGAGGGAACGTGCATTGGTATTAGCGAATGCAGTCATTAATGAATTTTCATTCCATGATAAGAAAAAGATTGTAAAATGTGAAGAAATTCTACGAAACTTTTTGAAGCAGAAAAATGGAGATGGACAAGCCATGATTGCAGCAGTTGGACATTGTCATATTGATACAGCCTGGTTATGGCCTTATGATGAGACTATTAGAAAATGTGCTCGGAGTTGGGCTACACAGTTGACAAACATGGAAATGTTTCCAAAATATAAATTTGCATGTAGTCAAGCACAACAATATGAATGGGTGAAGAAATATTATCCCCAACTTTGGAGTAGAATCTCAGATAAAGTGAAGAATAATCAATTTATACCTATTGGAGGAACATGGGTTGAGATGGATTGTAATCTGCCTAATGGAGAGAGTCTCATAAGGCAATTTCTTTTTGGCCAAAAGTTCTTCCAAAAAGAATTTGGAGTCAGAACAAAAGTATTTTGGTTACCAGATACATTTGGATATGCACCACAGTAAGTAACAGCTTTTTTGAAGACAATTTTCTATTCTGAGCAACCAATTAGACTTCCTCAAATCATCAAACGCAGTGATATGTCTTATTTTGTGACCCAAAAGATGTCTTGGAATAGGGTTGGTTATCAACATTTTATATTTATATATATTATAATGCTAAGATTTCTCATTTATTTAGTATAACAAATTTCCTTATTCATCCTTTGTGTGGGAAGGTCTGGATGGGATGGTAGCCAAGTTTTGGCGCACTTTCCTCCGGCTGATACATACAATGCTCTTGGAACAGTTGATGAAGTCCTCAAATCTGTTTCAAACAATCACGAAATTGGTGTTTATAACAGTTCTCTTATGTTATTTGGGCACGGCGATGGAGGCGGTGGGCCTACTCCAGCAATGTTGGAGAGTCTATCTCGTATGGAAAACATAGCAGGTTTGCCTAGAGTCAACTTGGATACAACGCCCACCAAATTCTTTGAGGAAATGGAGAAACATAAAAATGAGTTGCCAGTATGGTTGGGTGAGCTTTACCTGGAGGAACACAGAGGTACTTTAACAAGTCAGTCATTTGTGAAGAGAGACAACAGGAGAGCAGAAGAAATGATGAAGGAAATTGAAGCATTGTATTCAATATTGTATGCCTGTTATGATGTCTCTTATCCTCATGAGACTATTAATCAGTTGTGGAAGTATATTCTGTTGAACCAATTCCACGACGTTTTACCTGGAAGTTCCATTGGGGACGTTTACAAAGACGTAAGAGTATATTACAAGAAAATCTTCGAACAAGGAAAACAACTTTTAAACAAAGGATTGAGTTTATTCCATTCAAGTCATAATAGCTCCAACAATGGTTCTAGCAGCAAACTTCAGCTGAGATTGGATACTTCCAGTATTGCACTTGTAGATACTCAAGTTGTTTCTAACGGCCATGAAAGTCCTGTCTCTTTAGAAGAAGGCGAAGACTCTATAAAAATGTCGAATGGGAAGATAGATGTCGTGCTGGATAAACATGGAAGACTTTGCTCTTTAAAAAGTCGAGATACGGATAGAGATTTCATCGCTCCAGGTCATTTTGGAAACAGTCTTGTGCTTTATGAAGATGTTCCCACTGCATTTGATGCATGGAATATTGAATCTTATTCCGATGACAAGCCTTTACCTATGCAACAACCACCGAATTACAAGATTCTATCAAAAGGTCCTCAGGAAGTTGCAGTCCAGTTTTCTTATTCACTTGGGGAGAATAGCACTCTTGATCAAGTCATTAAGCTCCGTGCAGGATCCGATATGCTCCAATTCAAAAATCAGTGTTACTGGAATGAAAGCTTCAAAATGCTACGTGTGGAATTTCCTACAAGTATTCGTTCAGAAAGAGTTGCTTATGAGACTCAATTTGGATATGTAATGAGACCGACTCACCGCAACACATCTTGGGATGCTGCCAAGTTTGAAGTTTGCGGACACCGCTTTAGTGATATATCAGAACCTGGTTATGGTTTAGCCCTATTGAACGACAGTAAATATGGACACTCTGCAAAAGGAAGTACACTGCGGCTTACATTATTAAGATCACCAAAGAGTCCAGACAAGGAATGCGATATGGGATATCACACCTTTTCTTATGCAGTGCTGCCACATACTCCTGAATTTCCATGTGCGCAAGTATATCGAGCTGCTGATGATTTAAATAGAGAATCGAGTCGAGAGAGTGGATGGACTTGTTCTACAACAGAAGGAAAGCCAAGTTTTAGTATTTCAGTAGAAGCACAAGATGGAAGAGATGGTATTCTTATATCGACCCTTAAAAAGGCTGAAGAAGAAAATGCTTTGATTCTTCGTATATATGAGTCGCTTGGCCGTCACTGTTCTAGTGTTATTCGACTTGCTCAACAGTTACCGTTAGCTGAGGTTAAAGCAGCCAACTTGTTGGAAGAGGAAGAAAGTCAAACTACAAATGATTCTGCCGCAATTTCCAGAAACAATCGTAACATACAAGTCACTTTAAGGCCATTCGAAATTGTTTCTCTCAAGTTGAAACTCAGTAGTGGATAATTATTTGGATGTTTTTTCGAGGGTTGTTTTTGTAAAAGTTTTATTTTCATTTGATTTGCGTTTTTAGTCGAATCTGTTTCAGCTGTTATTGCCACCGTTTGGTAAAGAGACATTCCTTGTCCAACAGGGAAACGCTATGTGATAAAACATCTAATTCAGCCAAACGACACAAATGTAAGTTTTCATAACAAAAGAATGCTTAAAAATGTTGCTTCTTGGAAAAAAAGAAAGCTATCTCCATCCAATAAGCTGAATGGTAACTTTTCCTCAGGGAAAACAATAACCAACATGAGAACGCTAGATTTCGATGTAACTTGTTCTTTGTCAATGAAATCACAGTAGGTCATCAAGTTGTTTCAACAACAATATGGATTCAATAAGCAATTGACAACACATTTTATATAAAAAACACGACTTTATTAGAAAAACAGACTTGAACCACATAACAAATGTCCCAATATTTCAAGAAAGAAAATAGACATATCTTCTGGGTGAGATTGAGACAATTCCTCGTTGTAGGATACTGTAATAATAATAATCCGAAGGCAAACTATTATTACTAGTAAAATAGTTGTATAGTGGACGAGACAACAAAACGTAATCGGACAAGTCAGGGAAGCGAGTTCCGTTCTCTTCGTCCGGTCTATATAAATCGCCCGTCCTCACATTGACAGCACTTCCTGTTTCAAATTCTGTACAAGGAACAAACTTGCCGCAAGGCGTCCATATATCTTGTCTGCAAAAAGGACAAAGATGATCACCTCGTTGAATAACAAGTAGGCATTGTTCACATAAATTGTGGTGACAAGGAAGTTGATGAGCTGCTATTTCGTCAACGCAAATTCCGCAAGTAGATTCTTCAATTGAAGGACGAACTGCAAATAGGCTAACCTGAAACTGTGTAGTGAAACGAAAAAAATAGACTGAAAAGGAAAAAGATTGCAATTGATGTAGATTATATATCAGCTTTTCCGAGAAAGTTGTTATCTGCGGTAGTTGAAGAGGCAGTAGGCAAGGATGAAGTTCGACTACCAATACTTCACGTAAATATCGAGCGCCTTGCAAAACGAATACATGGCAACGAAAGAATCATCTTGCAAATTCACTTGCCGTCCAAAAAGGAGCAAAAGCATCAAAGCTAATACGAAATAATTGCAAACTCAGAAAATCAAAACTTGCTTTCAATGATATTTGTTTCGTTTGACAGAATTCTAAAATATAAAAAAAAATGAGGTATTCTCCATTGATCACATAAAGAAGCATGAATAGAACCAAGAAAAGCCTTGTGTAGTATTCTCAAAAGTATCAATAGTTGCTCATTGGAAATTTTGTTGCTATTCATCGCAAAAAACTCAACTCGTGAAATCAACTGAAGACAAGTGACTAGTACAGTCCAACTCTTCGATAAGTCAAACATATCCAAGTCTATATAAAGAAATGATGAACCATATCCTTTTTGAAAAAGAATAGATAACAACTCAAGTATAGAAGAACTATCCTTATCATCAACTTGAAGGAAAAGTAGTCTTTTAGCAGATAATGTTGGCACTGTTTTCAAAAAACTCTTCAAAGCTTCACAAAGTTGAGAAAGCTTTGTCTCTGAGCGACATATCACAACATGCTCAAACAACTTTGGATATTCCGTAAAAAATACTTCAAGGTGACCAAGTAGACTTGAACGTGTCCAAGGGAGGTTAAGGTTGACAAACTTGCAATCTTCTAACAACCAACCCCTACAGCTATCATCGAGCTTATCAAGAAGTTGAATAAAACTTGGAACAGTTCTATATTCAAAGTTTGCTGCTTCCAGTAGAGAGTCTCTACCAGTTATACACTTAAAAATAGCTTCTCTTAGAAAGTTGGAAACCTCAAAGTTGAAAACGTTTGTAGAGGACTTGATATTTGAAGTTTCTTCGCAACTCAAAGGTTGCATCTGATTCAACTCCGAGTCAGAAGTTTGCGTCTTTTCAGACTGAGTACTTTGAATGATAGTTGGACTGGCATTACACTTGTCAGTTTCCATCAATATGAAGAAGAGTGACGGGGACATTCTTATGAGAATTGTTTCGTTGTTGTTTTTATTTGTATTCAAATAAGCGAATAGACTTGGCAAGTTATTTGAATAATTTGAAAGTCTCATTTTGGTTTGCTTGTATATGGTTATTGTATAGATAGTTGAAATATCAATAGCAGGTCTATTCAATGTCAATAAGTGAGCTTGTTTGATAAACATATTACAAAAAGATATACAAGTCCCTACCAACAACTATAAATACACAATTTCCCTCTTTCCAAATTATGAAGTATTGTGAATATTATAAGAGCCGTCCCCTTCAAGGATTGATTGTAAAAGAGTGGACAGTTTGTAGCAGCGCCTTTGTTATCGAAACCATTGAGAAACTTTTGGCTAGTGTAGGAAGACGTATATCTTCCGTTGTCTCTGTACGTTACAGCAGCTTTAAATGCTTTTTGTTGTCTTCTTATGCTTTTCTTCTAGTCCTCGAGCTATAACGTAGCTTACCGTTGTCTGTTGGTAACTTGTGCAACTCATCCCATGGATTCACAGTCTGGCAAGGGGACGAGTCGGGAACCACAGAAGAATGAAGTTGAAGACGAGGAAGGTTTTCAAAAAGTTGTGAGTGAGTGACTAGTTTGGGTTTAAGTAGTTACTTTTGGTGTTGATGAGTGTTTATCTTGTAGAACGAAATAGAAGAATTGTGAGAAACATTCCAAATAACGCAGGTCCAAGAGGACGAGGAAAGAGTACTGGCCAGGGTAAGTTGAATAGAAAAGACTGTATGGTTATGAATGGTTATGATAGACAGAAGACCAACCTTTGGTGCTCAACAGAACCAGCCTTTAGATAGAGGTCGTTCTAATAATAGAAGTAGTCATAACAGGACAGTTCGTGAGTTGAACAGAGGAAATGGTCGCCCCTTGCCTGAAATGGGCCATTCAAAGTTCCAAGATAGAGGTCGTGTTTCCAACTCTAGTCAAAACCACAGAGTTGGTCGTGGAGGTGCCAATGTATTTGGCAACTCTAGTTCAAGAACTGTGAAAGGCAGTCGAGAAGATAAAGAAGCAACAGATAGAGGATATCCAAAGTCGAAAGGTTTCAACAGAGGTGGAAGAGGAGGTGGAGATGGAAGAGGAGAGGTAGGTGGAAGAGTTCGTAATATGGAAGGAAGAAGAGGAGGTTTTGTTGGTGAAAGTCATAGTTCTTTGAATAATAGACAAGGCAGAAAGTTTTCAGGTCCTAACAACGAGTTCTCACGAGAAAGAGGAAGAGATAGCAGAAATAATGCCAGAGTAGGTGATAGAAGAGGAGGAGGGAGAACAGACTCTTCTAGAGGAACCTATAACTCACGAGATAATCGCTTACAAAAGGGAGATAAGTTGAGAAACGATAAAGGACGTTTCGCTAATGATAGAAAAGATTCCGTTCGAAAAAGGGAAAGCGATGGCAAAAATTCCAAGAAAGTCGCTGCAAAGAAGGAACGAGGAGTTGCCCCAAAGTTTACGGAAGACTCCAAGCACAAGTTGACATTTTATTTGCCATTCAATAGTCGTTATCTTAGAGCCTGGGTTGATCCAGGAAATGAGTTTCAAACTCCAAAGAGAAATGATTCAGGCATTGTGAAAGTTGCTTTTCGTTCTACTGATATGGAGATGTTACAAAATGAAGAAGGTATTGTGGTTACCAATGAAAAATGGACGGAGGAGAGTCCATCCGGCAAAAAGATTGAACTGGTTCGCGTATTATTACCTTCGAATATACGCTCAGTTTATGAAATTCAACAAAGTGGCGAACCCACTCCGATTGCAAGAAAAGTGAAGAAAGCCTCATTTGTAGTGGATCCAGGTCTGATTGTTGCTTGATTTGTTTATTTCTTTCTTAGTTGAGACAATTGGGAAGTCGTATGTTCAACTGTTGAAGTAACCTTGATTGTCTGGAATATACAAGTCATACTGGCAAATAAAGTTGCGTTCCCATACCAGAGAGTTAGTGACCGGATAAATTGGCAACTACAGTGTCTAAACGTTCAAGTAGCTGATGAACCCTTTCGTGCGTTTTCTTTCGTCGAGACAATAACTGAGTTATTTCCTTTGCTTGGTCTTGTCTTTTTTCACGAAAGGCTTTTGCAGCACTCTCTCTAGACACCTATTCGGTCTGTTATATATATTGAGTAACTCTTATTCCTTCTTACTTCCAACGCGTCCACTTGTAGAGCTACTTGTAACAAATACTCTTCTAGAGACTTGCACTGAGATAAGAGCTGTTGCAATTCTTTCTCATTCTTATCACACGAGGAGGATATATCGTCGTGAAGTTGAATTTCCACTTGGAAAACTTCCTTTTCGAGTTTTTCCAAGTTTTCCGACGTCTCATCCAGTCTTTGCTTTACAACTTGTAAATCACTCATAGGAAACTTGAATGATTTTAGCTTTAACAACACAGTTCATCAATAGAATTTTGTATATGATAATGTTTGTATCCATTTTCTGTACTATTCATATATATATATTATAATAACCAGATGTATATCAAAGAGATGCTTTCATTGGTGACTTTAAAAATAAACAAAATGTATGGATACCTGCATATAATGATCTGTTGAAAAGATAATAATATCATTCTTCTGAACAAGGATTGTTTCTATCAAGCTTATATATATATATATATATATCTTTAGCTATGTCATCCATCATTTTATCAATTCAAGTGAGCCTCCAACAACTAGAAAATATTGTTACAGCGTATCTATCTCCCCTATCCATGTAGTACTCTAGCAACTCAACTCAGTTCGTCAACATTGACCTGCATATATAAATGTCAAGATATGCTAGACATGGACAAATAATAAGGGTTCAACTAGTCTACTGGTCCAAATGTCTCCCATTTCCGCAATTCTGTATGTCACTTGGACACAATTGCCAAATGAAATCGACGATGCATTTTCGCACCCTCATACAGAATGGGAAGACTTTGAATGGCCATCAAGAGGGATTCCAATGGACAAGCCTTCTCCGCAAAGGGGTTAATCAACTGAGTTATGCTGTGAGTGAAGGAAGCTTTGTGTTGGATTGGGCGGTGTCCAGACACGATTGGCTATACTTTAAAAGCGGAGGGTTTACACTAAGCTACATATTCATTTTGAATTCGAGTTTTACTCAATTGTACACGGCTCTGTTGGAAAGTCAAACAGAGGAATAAGTGTATATCAAGAAACCACAATATATGAAAGTAGAAACTTCTATGACTGAACCTGGAGTTGAAGGGGGAGGATATGTTGAACCTTCCAACGCTATAAATGGAAGCGCTTCTGATGGACTGGACAATGCAGGTTTGACTGTGGCAAATGGAGTAAACAGTTACACCAAGCATAGTGAAGAAGGTTCCTCAGGCTCAGAAGAGTCTCCCAAAAAGCCAGACTTCTTTTCGAGGACCAAACTGAGCGACGAAGAAATAAAAAGTAAGCTAGTAGAAGATGGGACTCTCAGTAAAAACGGGAGATTGAAGCTGTTGGGCAAAATCCCTTATCGCAAGCCTACCCAATTTGAACTTCGGAAGCTAGAAGTAGAAGAGAGACTTGGCAAGTGGTATGAAATTCCAAAATACAACGTAGATAGTCAAGAGTTTGATAATGAGGCATACAATAAGTTAGTGGATGAAATCTATGAAGAGTTCGGTCAGCATTCGGGAAGAGTGGGAGTTTCTTTTCAGGATTTAACAGTCAAAGTTCCTGTCTATACAGAGCCTCCCATAAAAACTGTGTATACTGCAACAAAGGGTCTTTTACTAAAGCCACTAAAAGCTGCTTTTGGTTTTTGTAATCCCCTCAAAGGATGTAAGCCTGACAAAGGAGATACTCATGCTATCTTAAGTAATATTTCTGGATATGTTCTTCCTGGAGAAATGTTACTTGTGTTGGGACCTCCTGGATGTGGAATGTCAACCTTGTTGAATGTATTGGCCAACAATCCAGATTCAGATTTTGAGATTGAAGGACAAGTTTTGTATGGAGGTAAAGAAGCTGACTCTTCTCTTCAGCATTTTGTAAGGCTGGTTGGCCAAGAAGATTATCATATTGCATCTCTTTCAGTTCGAGATACACTTTCATTTGCTTCTGAATGTTGCATACCGGACTTTATTCCATTTGCAGAACGTTTGCGAAGTGATCGTTTGAAGCTAGTAGCGAAAGGTCTTGGATTGGATCATGTGTTAGGAACTCCTCTTGGAAATAACAAAATTCGAGGCGTCAGTGGAGGAGAAAAGAAGAGAGTCACTATTGGTGAAATGACCATTGGAAAGAGAGCTCAATTGAACTTATTAGATGGCTTTACAAGGGGACTTGATGCTGCAGTGAGCTTAGATATCGTTCGTAGTATGAGAAATATGGCAGACCTTGATCAGCAAGTGTTTATTTGTGCAATGCAACAGCCTTCTGAAGAGATTTATCGTTTATTTGACAAAGTATTGCTTTTAGATCAAGGCAAGTGCCTATTTTTTGGAAAGACAGAAGATGCTGTTCCTTATTTCCGTTCGATTGGATACTTGAAGCCTGAAAGACGTATGACTCCAGAATTTTTAGTTTCCGTATCTGATCCTCGAACTCACAAGTCAGCCCTTATGGAAGGATGGGAAAACAAAGCACCATCTTCCATCAATGAATTTGAGAAATGCTTCCGTGAATCTAGTTACTTTGCCAAGGTTGTTCGAGGATTTCGAGAAGAAGAACATAGCAAAATGATACCTCCAAAAGATTCAACTCCTTCTGATATTGAACGTTATTATCATCGACATGCACTTCAGCCATTGCAACGTCAAACGCAATTATTATTCAAACGACAATTTCTAATGGAAATTAAGAATAAGCCTGCCTTGTTAACACGTTTCATTCGTTATGTGATTATGAGTCTGATTATGGGAGCTTTATTTTGGCAGACAAGTACGGATGAAGCAGGTGCCGGTGTATTTCCGGGTATTCTGTTTATTTCTATTATTACGATTGGTTTGGGTTCTATGAGTACTTTGCCCGGTATATATGAGACTCGACAAGTATTCTACAAACAAAAGGATGCCAATTTCTTTGACCCACCTCCTTATATACTTGCACAAACTGTAGTAGACTTTCCACTTACCTTTTTAGAGTCTTTGATATACTCGGCTATTTTGTATTTCATGGCAGGTTTGAATTCTGCCGATGGTGGAAGAAAGTTTGGCTTCTTTTTATTTGCAATGTGGATAATCGATATGGCTATGAGTACTATGATTCGTATGATTGGAGTTGGAACGAGATCTTTTCATGAAGCTACTGCAGTTGCTCCAGCTATTATTATATTAAATGTTGTATTTGCAGGCTTTATTATTCCTCGAAATGATATTCCTGGTTGGTGGATTTGGCTTTATTGGTTGAGTGCTTTTAATTATATTCTTGATTCCGTCATGATCAATCAATATGTGGGACTCAAGCTCTATTGTTTGAGTAGCGAATTTGTTCCTAAACTTCCTACCCCTTTTGAATCCTATGAAACATGTCCTGTAAGTACTGGAGTTGCTTATTTAAAGGAGCGTTATGGTATTTTTACTGCAGTTTATTGGAAATGGTTGGACATTGTTATTGTCGTTGGATTTTATTTGTTTTTCTTATCTCTTTCCGCTTTGGCTTTAATGTTTATCCGATTCTCTACCAAAGCTTTTATTAGACCAGAAGGCTCCTCACCATTGGAAGAAGAACGTCTTGAACATTCTTTAAGAGTTAGTCAAATATCATTACCACGTTTAGACTCCCAAAGCGTCTCCACATCTCCTCAAGGCAATGATGAACAAGTTGTAGTCAACCCAAGAATAGAACAAGATGCTGTTGATATGTCTGTATTGAACAATGAAGTTGGTACAGAAGAAGAACAACAAGATGCAAGAGTGGTAGATAGACAATCTACTGAAAGTAATAGAGCGGATAGTTCAGTAGCTATGAGAAGTTTTGCAGCTCATGATATTGGTTTTCGTCCAGTTTATATGACTTGGACCAACTTGAGCTATTTTGTGAAGGTTTCAAGGAAGTATGCTAAAGAAAAGACTGGTCAAGATACCAACGAATTGCAACTTCTACATGATGTCAATGGATACGCAGTTCCAGGTAGAATGATTGCGTTGGTTGGAGCATCTGGAGCAGGAAAGACTACTTTATTGGATGTATTGGCTCAAAGAAAGACACAAGGTCGCACTTTGGGACAAATTTTACTGAATAAGAAGCCTATCGATCGATTCTATCGAAGAATTGCAGGTTATGTGGAACAATTTGATATACACAACGAATACGCTACTGTAAGA